AGGCCGGGGATCGGAGGGGAGCAAGCGTGATGGGTCACGGGGCACAGCCACACCTGCCCTTTGATTTTCACACCCCCCTATTCCAGTGCTTGGCTGAAGTCCTCTCTTCTCACCTTGCGTGGTCCAAGAACTTTTCTGAGACGGGTCAATGCCTTTATTTAATGCTGAGCTCATAACACTTCTCAGCCAAGTTTTGTAACCCCTTCCAGGGTCTCTGCGCTGCGCCTTGCAGTGTGGGACCCTTTTCTCACTTGGCACATCTGTAAAGAACACTGTGGTAGGGCGGGGCAGAGGGGGGGTCTTGGGGGCTGACAACACAAGCAGACTTTGGCCAGGGCATTGAAGGCAATAGGATTCTGACCCACAAAACGGTCGCAGGAGCCAAACCACAACCTCCACAGCAATTGACCCAGAGCAGGACTCCTGGGAGGGGGTCAGTGCGCCCAGTACACCTCTGTTTTGTCCCTGCTTCCATCTCAGAATCAGAGAGAGAGAGTGAAAGATACTCCCTAAAGCAGTCACTCAGGATGGCCCACTTCTAGTTTGCCCACGGCTACCCCGCACCCACAACCTCCAGTCAGGGCACACCGGAGATCAGTTGTCATCAAGTTGGCTTCAACCCATGGGGACCCGATGTAGCCTTCCCCTTGTCCCTCCGCAGAGCTTTCCTCACCCCTGCCTGCCTTCGGGCCTCAGCCAAATGCAGGTAATGGTGACTAACTCCCTTGCTACCAGAGCATCTGAACAGACAGCCTTTGCGTGTTCTCATTTGGGTGGTCTTTGTGTTTGTCTTCAAACCTCCTTGGTTTTTTCCTTGGGCGGTGGGGGAGAAGCCAGCTCCTTTGCCTGGGATTTAATTTGGAGCTGGAGATAGGAAAAGAGCCAGCCTCCTTGTTAAAGGTTCCGCAGAATGACAAGAGTTTGGACTGACAAATCTGCTTGAAGAACCACGTTAATTTACGATGGCGAAGAAGGTGTTTGCTGCCCTCCCACCCAGATCCACAGGCAAGTATGAGAAGCTGCTTTAATACATTCCCTATGTGGTAGTTATATAATCTCATGTCAATTTGAGAGGATTACAAGGGAAAGGGTGGAGTCTAGCCTGTCAATTATTGTATCACCAATGAGGCCTCTCTGTGGGCATGGCCTTCCCCTGAGGATTCTGGGAATTCCTGTATTTCCTCCTTGGAGGCAGGAGACACTCTCTTTGTACTCACTCCGTGAGAGACAACACACATGGCACTATGCTGACAGACCCCGTGCCCTGGGAGCTGGAGGAGCCACGTGGAGACCCCTGCCAGCGCTGAGACGCTTACGACGCCACTGGATCCAAAGACTTTCTACCCACTGACTTCTGATTGTCCTGCATTCAGCATCATTGCATGTGTTTCGTGAGTCTGAAGAGGATTTTATAGATTGGTATTGGACATATGGGCTAATAAAGGACTTATGGGCTTGGACTAGACTGGGCTGGAATGTTTTCTCCATATCCAATTGCTCTTGTATTTAACCCTATAGTGCTGAGTGTGATGTTTTCGTAACATTTGATTAAATTATATATTAATATATATAGATTGATAACTATTAAAGAATAAAAACAAAAAAAATTTCCTGAAATTAAAACTTCAGGCATTATAGGGATAAAGCTCTTTCCTATACACGTGAGTGTCTATGAATTTGTTTCTCTGACACATAGCCCATGCCAGTGATGCACCATGGTGAATGAGAAAGCAGGAAGACCACAGGCCATGGGGGGCAGAGTTATGTGGATCCAAAGTTGGTGGAAACGTGGCAAGGTGCTGACAGCTCTCAGGGTCAGCAGCAGAGCCCCAGCAAGCAAGAGGGTAAAGGGGGGGGGGGGAGAGAGCAGTTTCCAGAGATCCTCACTCTTATACACAAACCCCCACCCCCAAGGAGGTGGCATCAAGCTACCACTTGATTGACAGGTTTGAGTCCACCCCTAGCCTTGAGTATCCAGTTGACAGAAATCATCCAACTGCCACACTACGTCATCCATGACCCTGGGGTGAGAGCCACAGAGATTCCCAGGCACAGGGGTAGGATCTCCCCTTGGGGGGATTGCTTATCTGTATCTGTGGCAGTTACATAATCTCCTCTCAACTTGCGGAGGGGTGAAGCCTAGCCTGTCAATCAGGCCACAGGCAATGAGGCCTCTGTGTGGGCATGTCCTTCTCCTGAGGATTCTGGGCACTCCTGTCTTCCTCCCTGGAGCCCAGACACACTCTCTGGTTGTCTTCCCGCTGACAAGACACATGGAGCTACGCTAGAGCCCTGGAGCTGGAGAAGCCAGGTGGAGACCTCTGCCAGCGCTGAGATGCTTCCACTGCCACTGGATCCACAAGACCTCCTACCCACTGGCCTGTGATCTTCCTGCATTCGGCATCATTTCATGTTTTGAGTGAGCCTGAAGAGGAATTTATGGACTAGTATTGGACATATGGGCTAATATTGGACATATGGACTTGATCTGGACCGGGCTGGGGTGTTTTCTCAGTATTCAACTGCTCTTTTATATAAAGTTGTTTCTTATACGCATGTGAATGTCTATGAATTTGTTTCTCTAGTTAACCCAGACTAACACAGTATCTTTGCACACAAGGTGACCCTCTTCTGACATCTGTGATCCACACTCTTGTAGTATACGGGCCTCAGAGCTGTAGGGAAGAACATTTATAACCAATATGTAATTCCATGCAGTTTGGATATTTACACAAAGAATTACACAAAGCTGTGCGGTAAGAGTATGTGTGAGAGCAATAGAGGGAGGGGCTGGCTGAGTGTGTCTCTTAGAAATACTTCAGCCACAAATGCAGACCACGTGGGCCATTTCCAAATATCGGACAACCACATTTCTTTCTTTTTTTTTTTTTTTCAGTTCAAGGACTGTTTGTTGGCCTTTAGGAGTGTTTTCCAGTCCAGTCTGTTGGGGCACCAAGCCCTGGCCCCCAAGTCCACCTTTGGCATTCCCTGGGGACTTCGCCACTCCGTTCCCTTGCTGTTCTGTTGCACCCCTTTAGTGTTTTGCCTCGGTGTGGTGGGATCAGATCGGGTGCAATTCCCACAATGTCTCCAGTGTTGTCCCCTGTAGGGCTATGGGTCAGTGAGGGATACCATGTCTCATAGGGGGGCCGGCCATATGGTCTTTTCTGTGGATTGGCTGCTCTGAATGGGAATATCTTACTTAAGGCTTGGTGGGCCAGGATGTGCTCCACTCTCTCCTCCTCCCCTTTCATCTGCTCCCGTGTGCTCCGATCAGTTATGTCCCTCTCCCGGAGCTGCAGATTCCGTGCCGTCCTCTGAAATCCATTCTTCTGGGGGGAGGGGCTGGTGTCCACATAGCTGGAATCGGGGCCAGCCCCTCAGACCTCTCCACTCTGACAACCACATTTCAAGAAGTCTCAAACAGCCAGTGAAAACATGCTTATTAACTCGGTATCTTCAAGATCTTATTTCTACGTGTCACCAATACGCAGAATACAAAGGTGCTTCTCGTGGGCACCATGTTCTCAACACCCAGAGTGTCTTTTTACCGTTAGCGCACATCTCACTGTGGATCAGCCCCATCCTCGTACGTGGTCGCCACACCGGGCCAGTGGTTTACACGATGGGGCCGCATGCAGCTGTGATCAAAACCAAACCCACTGCCCTTGCTCGAGTCGATGCTGACCCACGGCACCCTTCCAGCACAGGACAGGACTGCCCCTGTGGGTCTCCAGGAGGCCAGAGGAGTGACTGGTTCTACCTGTGCCGGGGGGTTGCTGAGTCTCCATTGACTGGCTGGCAGTGGGTTGGGTTTTAGGCTTCAGCCACATCTCGGGTGTACTCTTGTTCTCTGCAGCTTAGACAGGCCTCCCTGGACAGGGAGGAGGAGGATAGAACCCCTGAAAGCACCCCAGGTGTTCCTGGCTACCCCTTGCAGTTAAATCACAGTTTCCCAAATTTATTTGGGAATAAATAAGTTTATTCCCCACTCACGCTTCAGGAAAAAAAAAAAAGAAAAATTACTCAGAGCATCCCCTGCAATGAACAACTTTTATACGATAACCCACAATGGAGATAAAGTGTAATTAAGCTGTGTTTGCAGCCTCTGTGGATAGTTCCAGCATCCCATAGGGGTCGGTGGAGCCCCCTTTAGGAAACACTGAGTGAATTCACTTACTATCGTCCAGTTGATTCATAAAGACCTTGCCAGGGTGCAACTGCGCCTGTGGGTTTCCAAGACTGCAACTCTTTATGGGAGTAGAAAGCCTCATCTTTCTCCCAAGGAGTGGCTGTTGGTTTCAAACTGCTGACCCTGCTGTTAGCAGGCCACCATGGAACTCTCCACATCACCAGGGCTTCTCTGAAGCCTTCGACGACAGGCCTGGCCATCGACTTCTGAGAAATCAGTCACCAGGAAGCTGCGTGTCACCATTTCCCTCCCAGTGGGTGAGGGTCGACTTGACAGCGGGTGGTGGGGTTAGTGTTGGGTGAGCACCTGGGGAATGTGCCCCAAGCGGTATGCTGGGCCCCGGAGTGACTGCTCTCTGCTTTGTGGTGCTCCACCCTGCCCCTGGGGACCCGGAGTGCTCCCTGACAGCGGGCTCTCTCCTGAGTCCTCTTTCTCACTGAAGCTCTGGCGTGAGACCAGAGCTGCCCTCTAAACTGGGGGGCCTGCAACACACCGTGATGAAGTGGGGAGCCTGTCAAGTGGGACAGTCTGCCTGGTGGTCCAATCCTGCCGGGCCCGTGCCAGCCCTTCCCGGACACCTCTGACTCCCCGGGTCTTACCTGAGGACACAAGGAGCCCAGCCGGCCTGTCTGGCCCACCTTCCTCATAGGCGAGGGTCACCGGGTTCTCCGGACACGGCGCATTGTGACATGATGCATCTTAAGGGCCACACAGGGCCTTTATTGGAACATGCCACAGTCTCGCTCCCCCCTGCCCCCAAAAGGGGGCCGTCTGAGGAGCTTGGGGGGAGCGGCAGCGGGCAGGGGGGTGCATGCCGGCCCTCAGTTGTTGGGTGCGTTCCCTGCCTTGTCTATGGGCTGCTTCGGCAGGGTGCTGAAGGCCTCTGGCCTCACCTTCAGAGGCCTGGCATTGAGAATGGCGTTCTTCGCTGCCTCCTCACTCACATCCTCCGAGGATGAATCTTCCGTGAGGACATTGGCAGGGTCGACGCACGACTCCAGGTTAATGTCTTTCTGTAAGCTGAGGAGAGCAGTCTCTCTCTCTGAGATCCTCGCAGTCCGGGAGTGGCCCCACAGCCCCCAAGAGGTGGGGTCGGTCCCCCTGACTCCTGGACGTCTCAGCCGAGCTTCTCCATGGCCCGCAAGGAACCTCGCTTTTCGGAATTAGACCTAGTCTGTCTCCCACACTTGGCCAGACCCTTCCATGGCCTTTGGTTCCGGCTGCCATCTTCCTCACTAACAATATCGGGGCACTTGCTACGTGCCAGATAGTCTGCCAACGGACTCTACACACTATGAGGTCTGTTGGCCCCTGTCCCGCTAGGGATGAGTCTACCAAGCCCCAAGCCTCCTCTAGAGGATGCTTAGGATGCCAGAGGTAGGCAGTGTCCATGGAGGGGCCGGCTGGCTCTCGTTCCTAAATGTCCCCACTGGGCCTCTTGACTGGATACCTGATCCTCTCAGGGGAGCTGGGTGTTCAGACAGGAGAGGAGAGGCACCGGACAGCTGGTTCAGAGCTGGCCTTTCGGCTCTGGGAAGGGAGGCAGGCCAGGGTCCCACTGCTACATCCGGGAGCTAACACCACTAGGGGCCCAGCCAAGAAAGGCAGCTTGCGACTTTCTAGTTGGGGGAGAGGACAGAAGAAGACCCAGCTTAGGCAGGCAGACATCCGGACAGCTAGGAGAATCACCACTGGGTTGCCTTCTCTGGGGAGCCCAGGGGCGCACAGTGCCCGACCTCCTCTGCCTGGATAGGGCTTGGGGCGCCACTGGGCCCTGCACACACACCTTAGCAGCTCGGGCACGTGCTCCTTGTCCGAGAACAACCCGTCCTGCAGCTCCGGCAGTAGGCAGCAGAGGTACATGGCCAGAGACGCCAAGGAAAAGGAGAGTAAGATGGGCAGGAGGGCTAATCTCTGTCTGACGAGCAGGGCCATCAGGGCTAAGACAGCACCAATCATCAAGGGCAGAGACAGGACCCCCAAACCTGTGGCCCTGCAAGGGGAAGTGGGGCTTGTCTGGGCCGCCTCCCAGGAGAGGGCAGGCTCCCACCCGTCAGCCTCCTCCCTCACTCCTTCTCTAGGCACAATTCTGGGGAGTTTTGTACCCCATCAATTCCATTTGGGGAATGATGATTTCTTCTGAGTCTTTGTCTTAGGGGTGGGGTTGGGGTGGACAGGGGATCGAGAGTGGGAGGAGTCAGATGGAGTCAGATCGAGTTTGGGTGGGCGTGAGAAAGGAGATATGGACAAGGCCACCAGGCCCCTTGGGGACACTGCTGACATCCCTAAAGGCTTCTGAGGTGACGGGGTCTGAGCTCAGAAGGGCCCAAGCCCTTTCCGGAGTCTGCACAGGCAGGACTGATGGGTCAGCCCACCTGGGACACACCCTAGCCCTGCCATTTGCAAATCTGCCCTTGAGCAAGGGCTGTCCCCTTTCGGACTTGCTCAGGGGCACCCTGGGGGTCACTACGAGGCAGAGTGGACTTGAAGGTGGAAAGGTGTTTGGGTCAGGCGAGGACAGAGAGATGTAAAGGGCTTAATTAAGTCCAGGGTCTGCACCAACCAAACTCACAGGACGGCTTTCAGCTGCTTCTCTAAGGGTGCTATCTCTCGTCCCTTCCCAGGCCCCGGCCAGCCCCGCTCACCCCCAGCCCAGCACCTGAGTGTGGTAGGCAGGAGTTCGGCAGTGTAGTTGAAGACCAGGGTGACCGAGTTGGCCAGGCTGACCTCTCCCAGCAGGATTATCGAGAGCACCATGAATTTCAACTCTGTGGCCAGCCAACATGGTCACCTGAGAGGGGGCCCACCATCGACCCCCTCAGGCTAAGTAGAAGAAGCCTGCCCATGGACACGCCCTCAACCCTTCCCAGAAGGCATTTGGATGACTACCCCAGCCCCTGGTCCGTAAGACTCAGCCGTTTGGCCAGAGGAGGGTCAGTCTGCCAGAGGCCCAGCCAGGCCCTGAATTAGCCCATGTGCAGCAGGAGGGCTGGTCAGCAGGAGTGGCCTCACATCCACCGACCCACCAGGCTGGACGTAGCCCTCTGCAACCTCAGTCCCTCTTCTCAGGCAAATCCTCCCCCAGCCATAGCTTTCCCCACCTGCCCGCTCCCTCCTTGGGGATCTACTCAGCTTCCAGGCCCACAGGGCAAGCCAACCCTGTGTCTCCTGGGCCGGGGCTCCTTGCTCCTAATTCTCCCCTTCATGCGGGGTGGGGTAGGCAGGGGCAGCTGAGCCTGGAGGAACTACATCCTTGTAGAACTAGCTCAGCTGTGAGCATCTGGACACCAGTGTTGAAGGAGAGAGCCAGCACCTGGGCGAAGCTGTTCTACAGCTGAGGGCTAGGGCTGCAGTTCCTCCCTATCCTGCTCCACGCCCACCCCTGCTCGAGCCCTGGGAAGGAAATCAGAGCTCTAGCTTATCTTTGGGGATTCCATTTCCAGGTTCTCTCCCATGTTTGACACACGTGTGCACACGATTTCTACCTGGTTCACACCCAAAGACCCACTTTTCACCATAAAGTTCTTTTCCGCAACTGCCAATCAACACTGCCCACCAAGGGAAGGGCCCATCAGGACACATCCAAGCACCGTGTCCAGTGAAAGGAGGGAGCCTGAGGCTGTCCTGGACACAGCAAGAGGGCACTTGCAGCCAGCGGTCCTGGGTGAGTGGACAGTGACCTTTCCATGCCCAAACCCTGGACTCGCCACGCCCCAGCTCTGTGGTCTGGCCCATGTCCACTGGCTCAGGAAACGCCCAAGACCATTGCCAGCCCTGCCCCAGTTCCTCCTCCCACCAAGGCTCCAAGATTGGGAAATCGAAGGCCCATGCAAGAACTGGATAGGCCTGGAGGTGCCTATAGTGGGTTACAAGTGGGGCTGCTAACCTCAAGGCCAGCAGTTCAAAACCACCAGCCGCCTCAAGGGGAAAAAAGATGAGCCTTTCTGCTCCTGCCAAGATTATAGTCTCAGGCACCCACAGGGGCACTTCTACCCCATCCTATAGGGCCACTGTGATTCGGAATGAACTGCCTCTCACTGGCTTCTGTGTGCCCAAGCATGGAGCCTGTTTCCAAGAGCCACCTACCCCATTGTGGGCAGGGTGTGGAGGCAGGAGGCTGGTTCTCAGGTGTGCCCACCTGCTGGGCCAGGTGAGGTACATTGGGGGTGGGTGGAGGGCCCAAGGAGGAGATAGGCTGGGCAGGAAAGGGTGGGGTGTACCTTGGGAGATGAGAAGGCTAAGCAAGCACATCAGGGAGCCGAAGAGCAGTGTTATTGCCAGGGTCCACTTCCTGCCAATCAGCTCCAGGAGCAGGATGCAGCACAGCCGGACAGGGACCTCTAAGAGGCTGGAGACTATGAGTCTGGCATAGGGGTTCAGGCCAAAATCCCCCACCTTGAGATTCAGTGTTAAATAGCTGTAGCTGATGGTAAACCTAGAACAGAGCCAAGACACATGCATGCACGCATACACGCACATGCGTGCACATACACATGGGGCAAGGAGCAGAGGCAGACAGCAGGTGTGGTCCCTCGGCCAAGCTGGGACCCAACAGCCCTCACCCAGGCTCCTGCTCCTCACTCCCCGGGCAGCCTGACTCCCCACCACCTGTCTGGCTGGACCTGAGCACTTACCATATGATGCTCATTACCAAGATCACCTGGCAGATGTACCTGTTGCTACACAAGTCCAGGACAGACGTCTTAGTCACCTGCTTGTTCGGCAGCTGCAGATACAGGACAGGTAGGACTGGCCAATGGTGGAGTCGAGACCCCAGCTTGCTCAGCTCCCCACCACCACCACCTCCAGGGCCCTGGAAGTCCACCTGCCTCCCACAGCGCCGGCCTGGCTTCTGGCCTTCCCCTGGCACCATTTCATTGTGCCATTCCTCTTCTCCACCAGAAATGGACCAGGACACCCCCCCCAGACTGGGTTCCCCTCAAAAGGATGAGGAGGGAAGGGGAGCCCCTGCCGCAGCCCACTGCCCTCAGTTCCACTCTGTGCCTGAAGCCTCTTACCTTTCTGAGCATGCTGAAAGGAATGATCTGCTTGTTCAAGGAAGCTGCGTAGGACAGTACCTGCTTGGCCTCTTCCACCTTCCCTCTCAGCAACAGCCACCGTGGGGACTCTGGGAGGATCCTGCGTGACCCACCCCCTCTGGCATCTACAACTTCCTGGATGCTCCCAGGAAGGGACTCAGCTTGGCCCCACCCCAGCCTCCTCTGTGGCCCACCTGCTTCAGTAGGAAACGACCCAGACCTTGGGGGCTTTGAAGGCTCCCATAGCCTTCTACCCAAGCCCCCCTCCCAGACACCCCCCAGTCCCCCAGCCTCTGCCACTCCAGCATCAGCTCTAAGAACCTGCTCCTCCTGTTTCGGGACACACTCTCACCAGCCCAGGCGTCCTGAGGGCCCCATCTTCCATGCCCACACTTTCTCTGGGAACCCACTTCTCACAGTTGGCATGTCCTGGCTCCTCTGTCTCCCCATTTGGGGGAGTGTGGGGGTGGGGGTAGATCCTAGATCTGACCCCGGACCCTGCCCAGATAAATGGAAGGTGAACAGAAGTCTCCTCGCTGTGCCCTCTCCTGCCCTGCCACATCCCGCCCCGCCTTTGGTCCCAGAAGGACGAGGAGGGACAGCCCTTCTAGGCCAGTCATCATCCACACAGATGGACATGGACGAGTGACTTCTACCAGTAACTATACCTGGCACCTCGCACGCACAGTCTCTGGACTCCTTCCCAGCCTCAGACCTCGTGTCTTTCACAGCAGGAAGGACAAATTTGCCCATGGTCACAGAGTCTGGGGCCCCTAGTCAGACAGGCGACAGCACCCCCTCCACCCTGTTGATCTTGCATCACCTTCCCTGGCTGGGCTGGGACTTTGGGACTGGTCCCACAAACATATGTGGGATGTAAGACACTGGAGACAACCTCTTTCCTTGCCCTGCCTGCCCTGCCGTGCCCCGGCTCCTCCAGAACCTACAAGCCTCGACCCATTTCCCCTCTGAGGCTGCCCAATGCTCCCAGGGACAGTTGCCATGTTGGGCTTCTCCACACGGTGGGGCTGGGGGACTGACCCCATGTCCGCTCACAGACTGAGCCTAGTGGCCCTCAGGCGGATTCCGGCTTGTGTGCAGAACGGAACCGCTCCTTTGGGTTTTCAAGGGGTGACCCCTGGGAGGCAGGAGGCAGGAGGCAGATGGACAGGCTCCCCTCCCAAGGTGTCTCTGTGTGGGTTGGAACCACAAATCTTTTGGCTTGGTTTATTGGTTTGAGCTTAACCGTTGGCAATGTCCAGCTGCCGCCATCCTCGGAGGAGGGTATGAACTCCCAAGGGCAGAGAGAGTGGGTGAGAGAGAGTGGGCACAAGGCATGGCAGCCCAGGAGGGGCGGAGGGCCCTACTGACTGAGCTCAGTCTGCAGAGGGAGGTGTGTGGAACTAGGCAGAACACCACCCCTCACCAAGTACCCCAGTATTCAGAGAACACCTAGTGAGAGAAGGGAGCCCCGGACAAGGGCTCAGGCTAACCCCAGAGGAAATGAGTGCAAGTCCTATAAAGATGTAAAATCTTCTGCCTCCGTCCCCGCCAGGGGGGAGTCAGCCTGACATGGCATCTCCCTGGCTTTGGGGACCACTCCATATTGAGTCACCCAAACTAGTTTTTCAAAGTGGACCAGCAGCATCGGCATCCCCTAGGCATTTGCTAGAATTACCTATTCTCAGGTCCCACTGGAAACTCTGGGGGTAAGAAACTCTGGGGGTGGGGCCCAGCCATCAGTATTTCCAAGGCTGGCAGGGAATGCCGGCTACTGTCTGAGAAGCTCTACCCTGCAGGATGGCCCCATAGGCAGGCAGGCAGGCAGGCAAGCAGGCAGCTACTCCCTGGCCCCTCTTGGCTTCTTCCCTTCTTCCTTTCCCACTCTTCTCAATACGAAAGGACCAGTAGAGTAAGGTGACCAGATTTTAACATCGGTAAAGCGGGACACCCTTGATAAAACTCATATCCTGGCGAAAGAGCCACATGGCAGCCGAAAACCCTATACCCTAGCTTGTCATGCATTCTTTCCAAAAATCAGGACGTTTTAAAACGCCGTGGGACACGGGACAAATTGTTAAAAATCGGGACTGTCCCGCCAAAAGCCAGACATCTGGTCACCTTACAGAAGAGATCATGAGGTAGTGAAGAAGCCCTCCCCCAAGAAGAGAGTCCCAAACCAACGCACTTTCCCTCAGAGGACACAGAGAATAGCCAAGGGCACAGGAGGAGACGAGGAGGCAAAAGGAAGGCAAAGCCTTGCCCCTTTGGGAAGGCTCTGTGAATTCACATGCGCCACACCGGAGCCCAATGCTGCTGAGAACCAGTCACATCCAATCAAGGCATAGGGCTAGCGGTGTCATCGAACTTGGTTTGGCCTTGCTTTTTAATGTCCTGGAATTTCCGCTAAAGTACCCAAGCTGGTGACAATGCGTGAGAACCACACCTTCTAACCAAGCCTTACCACATTCAGAGGAGAATTAATAACAGCATCCGCAAAATCCCAGGAAGACAGCTCAAGGGCCACCTCTCCCAGCTTCTAGAACCCACTGCCATCGAATCCATCCCGGTTCCTAGCCACCCTAGCGAGGGTTTCCGAGGCTGTACGGCTTTACCAGAGCAGACAGCCCCATCTTCCCCCTACAGAGCCACTGGTGGCCTTCAAGTGTCCATCTGGAGCTAGCAGCCCAATGCTTCTTCAACATCAATTCTCCAGTTCTTGGAAGGTTGAGGGTCTTCACTCACGTTCCTTCCCCACCTTGCTCTCAATAATCAAGCCTTACGTGGGGAGGCTCATGCCACCTCTGAGACCGCCTTTAAGGAGGTCAGCTGGAGCTCATGACTGATTTGATAGCTAGCCAGAGTTTTCCAGACTTTTCCAGACAGTAAGAGAGTTTGCAGAAGAGGCCTCATGTGTCTCCCGAACTGTAACCCGGAGCCTGGTGTCCTCTCTCACTTGGGCCTGATGAGGGCTGGGGGTGGTATGGGAGCAGCCCGTGGTGGCTGGATGGGAGTTGGGGGAAGGCGGTAAGGAGACCACATTTGGATGCTGAGGGATTTTTGTTGTTGTTGTTGTTGTTGTTTAGCCAAGTGGACCTTGCAGTACTGAAGGCTAGGCTGAGAAGGCCTTTGCACGGTGGGGTAAATGACCAAGGGCAATGGCCGGGTGAAGGTCAGAAAAAGGTTAGCCAGAGAGCCCTCAGGTGCCTCAGGTGGGCAGGGCTGCTGAGGGAACGGGCACTTGCACGTCTGTCCCCACAGAGGGCGCTGTCAGGTAGGCCACAGCTGTGTCTGGTGCCCAAGGCCATTGCCTCTCTTTTCTGATGGCCCCATGCTCTGCCCAGGGTCTAGATCGGGTCTAGATGGGCCCTGGGCACGGGGAAGCTGTGAAGTGGATGTAAGGCTGACGTTTTAAATTGGGCCAAGCTGGAGTTTTTCATGCCTGGGAGTCAGTCTTAATGACCCAAACTAGACTTACTCTTAGGACTTCCAAAGACTGGGAAGAGAGGAGACCTGCTCAAGATACCCTCAAGTGGCAGGGAAGAAAAATGCACCCGGTGAGTTCCGCCCCTCGACAACTGTATGTTCCGGTTGCAAGACAGAGGTCAGAGTGCATTGCAATGGCTTCTGGGACAGGAACTGGGGCTGGGTTGGTGGGAGAGACCTACTGTTCATCACCGGCCACTTGGCATGACTTGACTGCTGGCCATATGCATCTATTACATTCATACAACTCTTTTGTGGCCGAGTCTTAAAGCTGATTCCCAGCAATGACTAAGCGGTGCCATTTGGCATGATGGAGGTCCACACTCATTTGGGCACCTCAAGGACCACAAGGCCTGGTCTCTACATGTTCCCTCCCCCACCCCCACATCGTCACTTGTAGCTGGAGGTCCCACCACTCATAATCCATGCTGTGCATGACGGCCACCACTGCAGGCAGGGGTAACGGCACCAGGCTCTGGGCCAGACAGGCTGGCTGAGTTTCTAGCACCGTGGGCAGCACCGTGTGACTGAGTCTCTCTGAAGCCTCATTTTCCTCTCCCTGCCCTATCTCATGGGGTTAGCAGGGCATCATTTAAGGTTGGAAAGATGGAATATAGTTTCAAGATCCACCATCTACTCCTCTCTCCTGGCTCAGCCTCCTTTCCCCACCTGTCCACAGCTAGCAGTACCATCCACCCGTCTTCTAACTCCTGCTTCCTGCAGGGTCCTCCACAGCTCTGGCCTCTCCTGATCCCATGCGCAACTTCTAACCAGACAAGAGCATCAGGTTCTCTTTCACCCACTCTGTCTCAGGTCCCCTACCGATCAGCACCTTCTCCGGGCCCACCTTGGCCCTGTCTGGTGACACCTCCTGAATGACATCCCTGCCTCGGGGCCTAGAGTCCCTCTTCAACTGTCTACTAGCCCACCAACGTCACTGAAAGCCAGGAGTTGCCACTAAGGGCAAAAGCACTTTCCCCTGCGTCTCTTTCTTGCCTTCCACCTGACCGTTCCCTCTTGGACCTCGCCTCCCCCACTGCCAGCTGATGTCTGAGGAGGGTGTCTCTGGAATGACAGAAGTTCTGAGCTCTCACCTCCTCCACCTGCCCTTTCTCCCCGGGGCACACTCACCCACTCTCTCAGCTCCCAGGGCCCTCCCCCCCCCCCTCGCCCCCAGCCCATCAGCCTCCATCCTGCTTACCAGATGTAGGGAATGAAGGAGAAGGCGGGCACTCCGCCCACCAGAAACAGCAGCCGCCAGTGTGGGAGGCTGTAGGCCAGGGCAGATAGGAACAAGAGGCCCACAGCGAAACAGCAGTGCGACAGGATGACCACCCGGACCCGGTGCTCGCTCACCAGCCACTCCGTGACTGCGGGGATCAGGAGGAGAACCCCACAGTCAGCCCGGGGGGCCTGGGGTCTGTCTCAGGCCTGTTCTGGGCAGCTCAGCCTGAGAAAGGATCTCCTGCCTGCTCATCCTCGGTGCCAGACCCTCGAAGCCAGCCAGAGGGGCTTTGCAGCTTCAGGGACACACGCCAACATCTCAACCACCGAGTGGGTTAGAAGGCTTCATCTGGTCGGCCTGGCTGGGAGCCTCTCAGAGAAGGCCTGGCTCTGTCCATAGGACCCCAACATGGTCTGGGACAGGCCCAAGGCAGGGTCACTGTCCACACCTGTGAAGACCCCATTTCCCTCCAGGGGCACTCAGGCAGATTGGGGCAGGGGGCCAGGGGTGACAGCTCCAACCCTGCCTGACACAGGCCTTCCCTCGTAGCCGAGCAAGCTGCTAACATTTGGGAGGTGCAAGCAGCCTTCTCCAGGAAGGAATAAGAAAAGTGTGCCCACTGAGCAGAGGGGTGTGGGTGGAAGGACACACGTGTGGAAAGCACAGAGCAGCCCCTCTGGGAAAGCCCCAGAATTGGGGGCTTGAATGCTGTGTGTGTGAGGCCGTGCAGAGGAGAAGGGAGGGGGTGGGATGGACCCGACACATCCAGGCAGCCCAGAGGGGAAGTTCAATGCCTTTCTGGGCCGCCCACTCTGTCCCCGGGGGTACACACCCCACTCCCACTGATAACGGGGCCGCCCCAGGCGGCTGGACTTCACTTAAAGACAAGCTGCTGATGGTGTAGCCAGCCACGGCCTGGCAGGCTCCGAAGCGGAAGAACAGGTAGACATTCAGGCTGTTCACGAAGGCTGTGCCGAAGCCGAAGACCAGCAGCCCCAGCAGCGACAGGAGGCTGGTGCAGTAGCGGCCCAGTCTGCAGGCACAGGGAGAAGCTGCACCAGACACAGCGCCCCCCCCCCCCCCAGCAACCTCCGAGGTTCTCCTGGCAGGGTCCTGGAGGGCCCCTCCCCAACCCTCAATGTCTAGGCGACTCACCTGTCACACAGGAGCCCGAAGGTAATAGATCCCAGCAGGAGGCCCGCCATGTACACCGCCAGTACCAATACCCTGGGAGGTTCTTGGCCACACACCAGGTCAAACTGTGGGTGAGACCCAGGGATTGGCCACCGGCCTGCAGCCGAGGTCAGCAGTCTGCATCCAGAGAAGGTGATAGTCCCCACCTCCGGTGGGGAGGCCTTTAAAGAGAAGGGGCCTGGGACCCAGGGGGGTCAGGACACTGGGTGTGTGCAGCAGGTGCCCACCGCTACCTCTGCATCTGAATCTGCACTTGGCTGGCCCAGGGGCTAGACCTGGAGAGACAGCCCAGAGGCACAGGCCATGGGGGGTTGAGGACTGTCCCCTCTGCACAGGCTCTAGGGCCCAGCCTAGAGAATCAAGCGGCACAGCTGGTGTGTGGAGGGCCCGAGCTGACCCAGCGGCTGTGCTGGACCCTGCCTGGCATGCTGGCTTAGCTGCAAGGCCAGCATCAAGTCACTGCGCAGAGGAAGCCGCATCAGTCGGCTCCCACAAAGAGTGACAGCCTGGGAAATCCCGTCGAGCAGAACTGCTCCACCCTAGAGGGTTGCTATGAGCTGGCATCAACCCCATGCCTCTGGGTTTGGTTTGGGGCTTTGTAGAGGGGCCCAATTTGCAGCTCAGGCTGAGAACACCTGTGAGAGGTGTCAGGTAGAAGTGCTTCTTTCCCGGCTCTCTGCCTGCTGGGAGTTCAGAGTGTGCAGCCCTGGGGTAGCACTTCCCCAGGCAGATGACGGCCCTGTATCCCAGCACTCACCCCTCCACCCAAATCCCTCTAGTGTCCTGTCTAGGGAAGCCCGTCTGCTGGGTTTCTGCCCTGACACTGGGTCCCCTCTTCAGGGTGACCCGGGGCCAATGGCTTCCAGGCCTCGGTTTCCTCACATGCTGGGTGGGTGGGTTGGGGGGCATGTGGGTAGCTACAGACAACTCCGAACAAGGCCCACCTCTTCTGTCACCAGTCGTTTCTTGGACTCAGGGTAGATCCATCCATTGTAGCAGATCTCTGTGTGGTTGAGGCCGAATTGGGTGATGGAGTCCAGATCCCAGTCCACCGGTGAGTACTGGAGACACGTCAGGAAGCTGCCGTTGGGCTCCCGGGGCAGGGTCAGGTTCAGCTGCTCAGCCTCGGACAAGTTGGGGCCCACGGTCAGAATCCAGCTGGTGTTGCAGTAGGCCTTCTGGGCCGCAAACACAAAGGTATCAGCAACCATGAAGAAGGCCGACATCATGTTGGGGATGAAGGTGAGGGCAACCAGCCTCCGCTGGAAGTTTCCAAACCCCCCCACGGCATGGAGGATGCCCACAAACTTGTCCTTGACGTAGGTGCCGTCCATCATGCCTTGCAGCAGCATATCCTGAGATCAGGAAAGGGAATTCAGGCTCTGGGAAGAATACTGGGATTCACATGGCTTTACCTGAAGGCTGATTCCTGTTGTAATGTGTTCGCAGGAAGGAGGCGGCTCAATCTCTGCCGACAACACCCCCTAAGTGTCAGAGGTCAGCGAGGCAGCCACTGACCAATCACTAGCTTCTCTGATGTGGAACAACCCCAATTTCAATCTGGGTGATCTCTGTAGGTCCCTTCTCTGGTTCAGGTGTTTCTTGGCTAGCATCACTTGCCCTTTATTGACCCACTGACCCCTGTCTTCTGAATGCATTGAAGGTTTAAAAAAAAATATTTTGAAAGCACTGTACTTTTGTTGTGAGTGACTCAAGTTTTGAGGAATGTGGCAGTTACATCATCTGTCAACTTGAGGGAGGGTGGAGTCTAGCCTGTCAATCAGGTCGTAGCTTGATGACCTCATTTGGAGGCGCAAAGGAGATAAATAGCTCACTGGAGGCCAGATACACACACAACCTGCGAGACATTCCTGTTGACCAGCCATTTGGAGCTATGCTGATGGAGCCAGAGCCCTGCAGCTGAAGGAGCCACGTGGAGACCCACGTCAGTGCTGAGATGCTTCCATTACCACTGGATCTACAAGACTTTTCACCCACTGGCCTGCATTCGGCATCATTGCATATGCTACGTGAGTCTGCAGAGGAATTTATGGACTAGTATCAACATATAGGGTAATATCGGACTTATGGATTTGATCTGGACTGGGCTTGGATGTTTTCTTAATGTACAATTGCTCTTTGATATAAAGTTCTCTCTTACACATCTGAGTGTCTATGAATTCATTTCTCTAGTTCACCCAGACTGACACAAGGGACTCTCCTGCAAATGTGCTACAACTAAAACATCACACAGGCGCGCGCGCGTGTGTACACACACACACACACACACACACACACACGAGATGTTTCCAGAGATACTACGTTCAAAAAACAAACCCAAAAGATCTCTCTGGAGTGGCCAGGAGCTGGGGCCCAGGGGTTGGGTGGCTGGAAGCAGCCTTGGCCACAGAGGCGGGGAGCGCAGACTGCTGGAATGTACCACAGTCGTGGGTGAGCACGCAGCCAAATTGGAAAGGCAGGTGGGGTGGAAATACCGAGTGTACAGATATTACCGTGGAACTGCAGTAGGTGGGCAAAGGAAGCCTAGAGCTCTCTTTTGTGCCAGAATCCTCAGCAAGGTCAAGAAGGTCACGGGTTGGGGTGAGCCAGAGAAGCCACACTCCCCAGAAGGGAACTCTCGAGGAACTCTCCCATGGAATGCAAAGCAACGCTATCAACCCCACGAGGAGGCGGGCCACTCCGAGAGGCCACAGAAGCAAGACAAGACAGACGCAACCGCCGAGGGTGAACAATGCAGAGACGATTACAGAACAGCTCTCTCATGAGCCTGTTCAAAGGTAGAAAACGCGTGCTTTCCACGATGAACTTACAACCAGACACTATTCAGGAAGGCACTGAACTTGCAAAAGTGAGAATGGCAATGGTTGACGTGGAAACACTAAACTCAAACTCCAAATCACTGCCATCAAGTTGATCCCAACTTGAAACAACCCAACACGACGGAGCAGAACGCTGCCTTGGCTTCCCCGAGGCCGGAAATCTCTCACCGCCCCCTCCCCCCAAAAATCTCTCACCCAGAAAATTCACTGCCATCAATTCCATTCTGACTCATGAGGAACCTAGTAGGCAGGGTGGAACTGCCCCCCGGGGGTTCCCCAGACTGGGTAACTCTTCACGGGAGGAGAAAGCCCTGTCTTTCCCCCTCAGAGCAACATTGCAAGAGTACAGCAACATGTGGAAACCACAAAGCCTTACATTCAGAAAACACGACCCCCCAAAAGACTATTAAGAAGGAACCATGGCGAGACACATTGTGATGGAGCTGCAGAAGACTGGAAATCAAAGAAAAGAACTCGAGAAGCAGGGCGGGAGAAGACAGGTCACTGATTGACGAACGGCAGCACGGAGGCAGACTAGAGGAAGTGGAGAGCATCCTGGAAATGTTGACAGCCACACCTAACCTAGAATGGTTAAAGCAGCAAAACCCAGGCAGGCACAGTTACCGAAAAATTGAGGACGCCTGCCAGCAAGCAACCCACTGCCATCGAGCTGCTTGTGACGCCTAGCGACCCCAGGGTTTCCAAGGATGGAACTCTCTCTGGGCGTAGAAGCCTCCTCTTTCTCTTCGAGAGACCTGTGCTCCTGGCATTTCTCATCACTGAGCAGGAACATTCCCTCAGAAGACAGCTTGACATGCAACAAGGAGCAAGCGGGGCCGTCAACCTGTCAGCAAGTTCAAATGTGTATGTGGGTCCAATCATGCAAGTGTCTCATTTGCAGAATTTGGAGGAAAAAGGAGAGAGATGACACGATGAACAGCCATCATCGTGGTATGTAAATCAGGTGGGGGAACAAGGAGCGGAAGAAGTCGCAAGTCTTTCTGTGGTTTCCGGTGTCAGGAGCGGCGGTATAACCCCGTGCAAGCCACACTCGCATGGTACCGTTTTCACCGTAACCGCGGCCATCGTAACAGAGAACATTAGTGGGGAGAGAGTAGGCCAAAGGGAAAGAAAAAAAATGCTTCAATTCAGGAAACGTCAGAGAGAGGGAAGAAGGAAAACACACACACACGCAGAGGAAAAGTGGGTTAGAGTAATCATGGTGGGAGAAATGAATCTAGTTTTACTGCTAATCTCTAGTTAAAAAACAGGGATGCCTTGATTTCAGTATTTTTAAAACTAATACAATTTTTTTAAAATAGGGTGACCAATACCAAAAAAATTAAACTCACTGCCATTCAGTTGATTCTGACTCACAGTGACCCTATAGGACAGGGTAGAACTCCTGTGGTTTTTCCAAGACTGTAACGCTTTATGGTAGTAGAAAGCCTCATCTGTCTCCCTCTGAGCGGCCAGTGTATTTGAACTGCTGACCTTGTAGTTAGCAGCCCAACACATAACCACAAAGCCACCAGGACTCCTAGGGTGACCAATATTTTCTAGTTTCCCCAGGCCTATTGTCCTGGTATAAATTCATAGTGTTTCCTTTCTCTGGCAACGATATTTTGATTTGAATGACATTTGGTCACCAGGTAAGGAGACACTTAACATTAAGGACCCAGGCGCGCTGAGAGTCAAAGGAAGGAAGGAGTTTTATGAGGCAAGCGATGGAAAGAATGCTGTGACTACCGTAAAATAGGTTTAAGACAAAGCGTCACTCGGAAGAGAGATTCACTGTCTAAAGATTAAAGATGGGTACACATCACACACCAAATAATTTGTCCTATGTATGTGTATATGCACCTAATATGCCTTTGGATATTTAAAACAACAATGGGTAGAACCCACAGGAGAAACAGCCAACCCCAATATCATAATATATCAGTGTACCTCTTTCAATGTGTCGGAAACCTTATAAAACCTTAACCAAGATATCGATTATTTTTATTTTTCTTTTGCTAGTGAGACTAAGTCACCAAGTGAGACTGAGTCACTGAGTGAGACAGTGAGAGAGTGAGACAGGGAGTGAGTGAGAGTGAGACAGTGAGTGAGAGAGTGAGACAGTGAGTGAGAGAGTGAGAGTGAGGCAGTGAGTGAGTGATTCAGGGAGTGAGTGAGACAGTGAGTGAGAGATTGAGGCAGTGAGTGAGTGGGTGAGTGAATGAGGCAGTGAGTGAGTGAGGCAGTGAGTGAGCGAGGCAGTGAGTGAGACAGTGAGTGAGCGAGGCAGTGAGTGAGTGAGTCAGTGAGTGAGTGAGTCAGTGAGTGAGTGAGGCAGTGAGTGAGCGAGGCAGTGACAGCGAGGCAGTGAGTGAGCGAGGCAGTGAGAGGATGAGGTAGTGAGAGAGTGAGACAGGGAGTGAATGAGACAGTGAGTGAGACAGTGAGTCAGTGAATGAGACAGTGAGGCAGTGAGTGAGTGAGGCAGTGAGAGGATGAGGCAGTGAGTGAGTGAGGCAGTGAGTGAGTGAGGCAGTGAGAGGATGAGGCAGTGAGT